ACTGCTCCTCCTCCTTGCTATCCTGCTGCTTGTTTGGCACCCCTGTGCCTCCTGAGTGGTGTCAACTCCTTCGACACTGCTCCTCCTCCTCATGACCTGGTGTCGACTCCTTCAACACTGCTCCTCCTCCTCAGGACCTGGTTGCCAGTGTCCTATACACTGCTCCTTCTCCTTTGACCAGTGACAGTTCCTTTGACTCTTGTCTCTCGAGCCCCTGAGTGGTAACCATCTGCATGCTCCTTGAGCTTGGTCCCCTTCGTGGCTGTGCCTGCTCCGTGAGCTTGGCCCTCCTCATGGCTGTGCCTGGCCTTCCTCACCTATGGCTCAGTGCTCCTTTGCATGTGAGTCCATAGGAGTCCATGGTCTCCATGGAGACTGCACTACAACCATGCTCTCTACTGGTATCGACTAGCTCTTCGATACCTGTGCTCCTTCCATATGAACCAGTGACCCTCCTGCTTCTTGAGCATCCAGGCCCATGACAGTAACAAGATATATACAGCTCGCGCATAAACTGTCCCATGACTTTACATGTCACCACACATCACTCCAATGCTCAATAGCCATATGTCTGATTGCCACACTGTTTGATATCGTCTGAAAGCCCTGCTTCTTCTCTCCAAGACTGTGTAATTGATATTGACATTACATGCAAAAATTGTGCATCAAAAAAGAGCTGAGAAATTTTTTATTGTGGGACAGTTTATAGAGCACTCCTTGACAACACCTCCTTTTGCCTTCAGAAATGCCTTGATGCATTGTGGCATACTCTCTATTAGGTTCCTACATGTCTCTGGAGTGATCACTGCCCATTCAGCCTCGCATCTCTTGAGCAGTTCTTCCCTGGACTTTGCAATTGTACTATACTTTGAGAGTCACACCTTGAGATGGTGCCAGAGGTGTTCGATCGGGTTTAAGTCAGGCAACTGCACTGGCCATTCCATAACCTTAATGCTATTGCTTGTCAACCATGTTGTTATCTTCTTGGATGTGTGTTTAGGGTCATTGTCTTGCTGAAAAATGATATCAGTATATGCATGCTGAAGGCGCAAATCAGAGAATGTTTTCACAAGCTTGTCATTCAAGATTTGAATGTATTGGTCTGAATCCATGATACCCAGCACCAAGCACATACCTCCCACCCCTTCCCACATCATACAGCCCCAGATCATGATGGAGCCACTGCCAAACTTGACTGTGGGCTGGACAAGCTTACTGTTGAAGCTGGCATTCTTAATCCAACAGAACTGCTTACCATCTGGTCTGAAGAAGTTGATCTTTGTCTCATCCAACCATCCAACCTTCTTCCAAGCCTCAACAGTCATATCCTTGTGCTCATTGGGAAATTTACAGCAGGCAATGTGTCAGAGGTCACACGCCTGAAACCTGAGATCTGTAGTAGAATCGCTTCTATTACAGATCCTGTCGAGATATGTGATTGTGTGTGAGGTATTGTGATTCTTGTCAAGTTATGTCATAGTAATGTCCCTATGACTATACTTGCTCAAATCTGTGATGGAGCTTATGCTATTGCAGATCTCAACTGACCACTGTGGACACTCCATCCAGAGGTAGCTCAGCATGATCAATAACAATATGAATTGTACTAACACCAAGGCCTGGTGTGAATATGATTGTCTGGTGGCATTGACACAAGTGTCCAGTGTGTCGACTATTGCTTGAGGTGATCCCTGGACTGCAGTGGACTACTGCCTTCAGTTCTATCTTTCTCCAGACCACTGGTTTGCTATGAACCACCTTCAGATGTCAGTGAGCAGTGATACAACACATGTGCTACAATGAGAGGCAATCTACTTGATTGCAACTATGCTGACTGAAACTAACATGTACTTTATGCTTGAAGTAATAACTAGTTTATATGGTGTAGAGTGGATGGTGATCCACTCACTTGTTGTGACGAGGAGCATGGTTATATACCATGCCTGCAGCATCACCTGTGACACTGCCCCTCCTCCTCGTCCCTCCTATCTGTCCTTCTTCAAACTAGGTGTTGATTCCCTTGACACTGCTCTTCCTCCTCATAACCTGTTTGCCAGTGTCCTTGTCACAGCTCTTCTTCCTCCCACTGGCAACAGTTCTCCTGGTCTTCATCTTGTGACCCCCTGATTGGTAATCAGCTGCATGCTTCTGAGCTTGGTCCCCTTCTTCGCAATGCTTGGTCCTCCTTTGCATGTGAAGTTCGCTGTACAACTGTCCTTGCCACTAATCTCTGCAGAATCTGCCATATGATCATGCTTACTGCAGATTCTGGCAGGTTTTGTGATATCAACTTTGCTTGCACCAATCTAGGTGAGATCTGTAATAGAGCTGTCTCTACTACAGATCTCAGTGAACTCTGCTGCAAATCCTACAATCTGCCCGATTCCTTGATTCCTGCACTCCCTTCATATGAATCGATGGATCTTCCTGCTTCTGGCACATTCAGACCCATGACACAATGTAGTGTCTCTTGAGTAGCTTCAGTTTTTTCACTAACCTCCATGCTTTGTAGCAACAATATCGAAGTGCTTTCCTTACTGTGGTTGGGCAAGCTTTGACTTGGAATGTCTCCTGCAGTGCTTGACATGCTTTCTGTCAGGGGTCTCGTGCCTGAAACCCAGGTCGGTCTGTTGAGATACTCAGTGACTATCAAACTGTGCAACAGCTATTGTCTCGGTATTGGTGACTATCAAGTTGCACAGTGACAGCAGGTGGCATTTGTTGTATATACTATTGTAGGTTTTGGCTGACCTCTGTGGACACTCCATTCAGGGGTAGCTCAGCATGATCAATATCAATGCTTCGGTTATGATGACACCAAGGTCTGGTGTGAGTGTTGATGATGATGAGGTTGATGACATTGGTGATAAGGTTGGTGAGTGTTGATGATAATGAGGTTGAAGGTGTTGGTGATAAGGTTGGTGGCGTCAACACGAGTGTCCAGTGTGTTGACTTTGATGCTTGAAGTGATCCCCGGACTGCAGTGGACTACTGCCTTCGGTTCTATCTATATCCAGACCACTAACCTGCTATGGGGCACCTACAGACATCAGGTAGTGGTGATACAACACACACACAATGATGAGGAGCAACCTTGATAGATTGCTGCTATGCTGACTGTAACTAATGAGTACTTGTGTTTCTAAAGTATTGACTAGTTGTATGGTGAGTAGAGTGGATGAGGATCCACTCGACCTATGATGATGAGAAAGCATGGTTATATACCTCTTCACAGCATCGCCAGCGATGCTGCTCCTGCTCTCTCTCCAGAGAGTACCTTCTTCATCGAGTACTGCTCAGGGGCCTCTCCTGCTTGGCACCCCTGTGCCTCTTGAGTGGTGTCGACTCCTTCGACACTGCTCCTCCTCCTCATGACCTGGTGTCGACTCCTTCGACACTGCTCCTCTTCCTCAGGACCTGCCTGCTAGTGTCCTATACACTGCTCCTTCTCCTTTGACCAGTGACAGTTCCTTTGACTCTTGTCTCTCGAGCCCCTGAGTGGTAACCATCTGAGCTTGGTCCTCTTCATGGCTGTGCCTGCTCCTTGAGCTTGGTCCTCCTTGTGGCTGTGCCTGGCCCTCCTCGCATGTGGCTCGTGTCCTCCTTTGCATGTGAGTCTGTAGGAGTCCATGGTCTCCATGGAGACTGCACTACGACCATGCTCTCTACTGGTATTGACTAGATCTTCGATACCTGTGCTCCTTCCATATGAACCAGTGACCCTCCTGCTTCTTGAGCATCCAAGCCCATGACACTTTCCTGACAGTGGAGGTGCAATTGAGCTCAAAATAGTGGTCCAGGAAGCAAACATGACAGGGCTGGAGTTTTTTTGGCCAGCTCCCCTTTGACTTTGGAACATCAGCTGAGGTGCTTTTGCTGATGTGATTCACAGTAGACTTGCTCATACCAAGTTGCTCAGCAACTGAATGGGTAAATTCCCCATTTTGGAGGTGAAAGAGTGCTGATTGGCACTTCTCTGGGGTGGTTTTCAGCATGATGGTGTCAGACTGGAAGTGTTGCCAGATTGCTCACAGTCATTTGATTGAGCTGAAACTTTCCATGTCACTACTTTTGATGTGTATGAAGGCACCCACCAAGTTACATTGCAAGTTTCATTGTAGTCAAAAGCCCACAAGGTCAGGAATGGAGTGGTGTCACTATTTGGCAGCATGCTCCATAAACTGTCCCACAATAAAAAAATTCTCAGCTCTTTTTTGAAGCACAATTTTTGCATGTAATGTCAATATCGATTACACAGTCTTGGAGAGAAGAAGCAGGGCTTTCAGACAATATCAGACAGTGTGGCAATCAGACATATGGCTATTGAGCATTGGAGTGATGTGTGGTGATATGTAAAATTGTGGGACAGTTTATGTGTGAGCTGTATATCAAGCTGAGGACACTAGGTCCTCACCATGTTCTTTAGTCAATTGAGTATATTTGTTTCTGCCTTAAAGAAGTAGTGACATCATACTTGGACTCTCCCCAATTGCCAGTTATTGGGACCAAAACTTCTTCACTTCTATTACGAACGAGCCACAACTCAAATTTCCGGCTGTCGGGAAGGGGAGAAGTGGGCCTTTTTTTTATTTTTATTTTTATTTTTATTTTTATTTTTTATTTTTTTTATTTTTTTTTCAAGAGTGCAAGATCGCTTGATTCTTGCTAAAACCCCTTTCTGCAAAAATCCCAACTTGAACCTCTACGTGTCCTCATCTTTCTTTCCTTCAAGTCGCACCTTCCCCTTTCCCTGTGAGGCGGTGCAATGGGCCAAGCGCGAGAATGCCGAGATGCACACCCTCTAACCCCCACTTCACAGCTTCTTTGTGCAAGTTGGCTGCAGCTGAGAAGGGTTCATGGCTGTTGCGATTGACGCCCAATAGACTCTTTTCTCACGTCAAATTGCAAGCCAGCAAGACAGCCATCTCATTTTCATCATGGCCATTGAAGCGAATAGCCGCCAGCTATCCTAACCCGTCGAGGTCATCACCATCGTCATCATGATTCGGCCCGCCACCCCGGGCACTTTGCTCACCTTGGTCGCTGCTATCTTGCTCGGTCTCGTCACCATCTCCACTCCCATAATCAAATCCATCTACTTCCTTGAAGCTACCATCGGTGGAGGCGGTTCTCAAAATGGTCAAGTCGCACAATTCGGTACCTTGGGTTACTGCATTGGCGACACCTGCAGCAACCCCACCCTAGGCTACTCGTTCGACCCCAACCAGCTTCTCGGCATTCAGGTCATCTCTGGCAGGTACACAGGCGCCGTCATCAAAGGTCTCACATACACTCTCGTTCTTCATCCAGTTGCTCTCGCTTTCGCTGTTGTTTCGGTGCTGCTTGGTCTCATCTCGCACTGCCGAGAGCTTTCCACCAACTGCTTTGGCACCTTTGTCACTGGTATCGGCGCATTCATCACCATCGTCGCATTCGGTCTCGATCTCGCTCTGTTCATCGTTGCGAGACAGCGCATCAACTCGATCAATGGCGCTCGTGCTAGTCTCGGTATGGCCATCTGGATGGCCTTGGCAGCATGGATCCTCATGTTCCTCGCCGGCTGTGCTTTCAGCTGCGGTATCTGCAGTCGAAGGAGGCGCAACTGTGTCAAAGACCCGCATCTTCCTCCCGACACCTATGGAGCACGCCCAGCTGCTCCCATGCAAGATCGCTACGCGGATCAGATGCGAATGGATGCACTCGATGCTGAAGCAGACAGGAAGCGCAGACAGGCTGCCTTGGACAGAAACGGTAGGGGAGGCGATCTTCCCAAGTTTGCCGAGTACGAGACCGAGTACGAGATGCCGCTTAAGAAAGACTACGACGAAGGGGCATACGATAATAGTGCCAATCACCAGCAGCCTGGCCTCGCTTACTCGACTAATAACAGTGTTGGTCGTGCAGGCGCCGCTGGCGTTGGAGCGGCTGCTGGTGGTTCGTTCATTAACGGCGTCGGTCAGGGCTATGGCAGAAGGCAAGCTCAAAGGAGCCGAGCGGAGGACTTCTCCAGCTCTCCACCTATGCTGAACAACTCGGCTGGTCACGGTGCCCACAATATCGCTGCTCAGAGGCAGAACACCGTTTCCTCTGTCGGCAACGGTGCTGGTAGCGGCATGCCTACTCCCTCACACATGTCCAACGCCCGCAGTGAAGCTACTTACGTTCCTAGCCCTGGACCTCAGCCATACCGCGATGGTCTGGACGGCACATCTTCGCTCACACCTGCACCTCGTTCTTATCCTCAGGTCTCGTCTCCACCACCCATGCACGACTACTCCCAACAAAACCAGTACCAGTCGCAGCAACAGTACGACTCGTATGGCAATGTGATCCCTGCCTCATCATCTGCTGGTCAAGGAAGTCAGTTCAGCCAGCGTGGAGGCGTACATCGCCAACCCACTGGAGAGTACGGCCATCCCACCGAATACTCAGGAGCTACCTTTGGTCCTTCCTCATCTGGCTTCCACGCACAGTCGAACGAAGCCGCTGGTGCATCCGGCTCTCGCATGCGCGGTCCACGCAATCTGCCTGTCATTCCACAGCACGAAGGCGCAGAACCAAAAGAGATCGTCTATGACGATGCTGCAGCCGGCTCATCCGCCGAGCGTCGCCAGGGTACTGTCGATGACGGTTTTGGCTTAGCATCATCCCACAATCACGAGGCGACTCACGATGGATACAACCAATACGCATCTTTTGCATACGATCACCAATCGCAACAACAACATCAACAGTATCACTCCTACCAACCATCAGGACACTACGATGATGCAGCTAGAGGCGAACCATCTTCATCTGCAGCAGTAGGACAAGCGTATGGCCATCAAGAAAACAACCACTACAATGACTATCAGAGCAGTGCAGGTCCTCCTGGATACGAAAGCGTTGCTGGTGGATCTGGGTATCAGCATAACCATCATCCTCGCGAGAAGCACTAGATGCTAGGGGATCCCGCAAAGCCCATTTATATAGTTTTGCTTTGTTGTTCTGATACTTTTATATAGTTTTTCAAAGATTGGCGGGCCGACGTAATTGAACAATATGCTCTTCGCTCACTAATGATCTGCGTGAAGCTGTTGAGCAAAGCAAAGCAAAAGCGAGAAAACCTGCAGCAGAAACGACCTTGAATTACACGAAATCGATTAAAAATTTGACTACAACTCATCATCATCAGCATCGAACAGCGGCGCTCTTTCCTCCTCTCCTATCCTAATTCTATCCCTTGCCATCGCACCTTCATCTTCCAAATCTAGATCCAACGAATAAGGTCTATTCCCGATCTCAATTCTCGTTGGTCTACTCGTCACATTGCTCCCCGACCTCCTCACAATCGAAACCAGCCTTAACGCCTGTATGACATTCCTACCAATCAGAAGAAGCGAGTCTAGCAGCTCCTCGCCTTTACCTGACCTTCCGCCTCTCGGTGTATCTTCGTCATCGCCGGGGTAGGTAGATCCGCGGCGGAAAGGCGAGCATTCGTGATGGAAAAAGATGACCAATAGCGTAAGGGCGCAAAGTAACACAAGGCCTAGATCGACGATGTTGTACGTGCTTTTCCAGAATTGTTTGCCGAATGCTACTAATCTGATGCCTACTTCCGCAATGAGAAGGAGGTTGATTGCTAACTCCAAACCATAGAACAAGGTGCCGGGACAGTCGGATGTCAAGCTGATTACGACGGTAAGGAGCGAAGCAAGGGCCATACCAGCATAGAACCAAAGATAGGCGCTGGAATGGACAAATCGATTCGCTACGCCTTTCAAGATCTCATCCCTCGACAAGAAGTAATGTGATCGTGAAAGTGTGGGTTGTGATCCATCATCGGTATTGACTCGAGAGTAAGGGCCTGATCCAAATGCGTTTTGGTCGTACACTGTTCCTATTCCAATTATGACTTCTCTTGGCGCTCCTGCCCCCGCCCCACTTCCGTTCCCGTTCCCATTCGTTGTTGGGTAAGGTGAAGCCATGTCAATGAGTCGTTTAGCCCAAAGCTCTGTAGAGACGGAGAAAACGTTCTTTGTATGTCCTGCTGCAGCGGCTGTGCGTCGAACAGGTCCGTTGGCGACCGAGCTGGATTGAGCACCCGAAGCTACGATCGGATCGGCGATATGATGTCTCTGCCTAGTTTTGACCCCCGCATAAAGGTTGCTGGAAGGCTCGAAGGATGAAGGAGGTGGATCGTTATACTGCGGCCAAGAAGGGGTGTGGTGCAGAGCGGAACTGGAAGGCGCTGCAGCTTGCACAGCTGCTGCCGGTGTGAAGGAAGCTATTTTGGCTAAACAGACACAAAGAGTCTATGTTACGGCACCCTTTGAGCCGGAAAGCAGAAACAGCAGAACGGTATTGGGTGAAAGAAAGAGATGGTGGTGAGTGTGGATGGTGGCTGCAGCCATGTGACTGGTTGTTGAGGGTGCATCGCTGGACCCGGGAACAGCAGCTGTTGCCCGCGTGGAGGTCAAACGCTCACGGGCCGAGAAATCCGATTTGTTATTTTAACTGCGATCGAACATTATGCGAGGCCCGAGAAAATGAGAGAGACATCCTAAATCCACACAGAAGGCCACAGTCAAGCGATCACCTGCAAGCTGGACTGCGCTGTGCTGTCTGTGTGTTCTTTTGGCACTTTCGGGTTCTTCTTGAAAATCGGAAGATCTGCTTCTCTCTGACGCTGCACGGACAGCAACCACTCACAACGCTTCCGTCACGGGTCGGCTCGGTTCTTCTTACACTTTTCTCTATCACCATCACTTCACCTTTCGCGACATTCAGCACCACCTTTTGTCGGCATCGAGCAGCAAGAGCACTTCACCTGCTCCCGACAAAAGCTCGCCCACCATGCCGCCAAAACGAGCCGCACTCCCCACCAAGGAGCGCACCCTCTTCCAGCGGCTCATCCAAGAATACGAAACCAAAAAGTACAAACTCGGTCTCAAAACCGCCGACACCATCCTCAAAAAGTTCCCCGACCATGGAGAAACCGTCGCCATGAAGGGCCTTCTCCTCGGCTCAACCCATCGTCGCAATGAAGGCATCGAATTAGCCAAAAAGGGAGTTCGCCTCGACCTAACCTCTTTCATCTGCTGGCACGCTCTCGGCATTCTGCATCGTCAGGATAAGAACTATGAAGAAGCGATAAAGTGTTACACCCAAGCACTGCGGATTGAAGGTGGTGGAAATGTGAATTTGTTGAGGGAATCGGCATTTTTGCAGTTGCAGTTGAGAAACTACCCTCCGATGGTGGAGAATAGGTTGACGCTGTTAAGGATGCAGCCTCATTTGAGGATCAATTGGATTGGGTTGGCGGTTGCGCACCATTTGGCGGGATCACTGGAGGCAGCGGTGAGGGTGTTGGAGGGATACGAGAATGTGATGCGCGATATTCCGGATAGGAGTTACGAGCATTCAGAAGTGTTGCTGTATCATGCGAGTGTGTTGGAGGAGCAAGGCAAGTTTCAGGAATCGTTGGATTTGATGGAGGAGAGCAAGAAAAGGATTGTGGATCTGAGGGGGATGCAGGAGGCTCAGGCGAGGTGTTTGGCTGGGTTGGGGAAGAAGGATGAGGCTGAGAAGCTGTGGAGGGAGTTGATCAAGTCCAATCCGGAGAACAAGAGGTACTTTGGTGGATTGCTTAGTCTTCTTGGGATCACTAAGGAGGATGGCTCGACCGCAGAGAAGGACAAAGCGGTGGAAGTGTTCAAGGGTTTACAAGCCGACCATCCCAAATCTACTGCTGCTAAACGTCTGGCTCTCATCCATGCTACGGGTGATGACTTTAAAACTCAAGCTATAGCCTATGTCAAATCAGCACTCGTCAAAGGCGTTCCTTCTCTCTTCTCCGATCTCAAATCACTCTACCAGGACTCAGCCAAGCAAGCCGCACTCGAAAAGATCGTTGAAACCCTCCGACTCGATTGGGCACCCACCACCTCCCCTTCCCCAGAAGGCACAGACCCACCAACCTCCTATCTCTGGTCCCTCTACTACCTCGCCCAGCACTACTCCCTCATCGGCTCCTCCACCCTCGCACTCTATTACATCGATTCCGCCATCTCCCATTCATCCACCCTCCCCGAATTGCACATGGTTCGAGCTCGAATCCTCAAACGAGCCGGTGATCTCCTTGGCGCCTCTGCCGCCATGACTGACGCCCGCTTATTGGACTGCCAAGACCGATTCTTGAACTCCAAAGCCGCAAAATACCTACTCCGCACAAACGACACCCCTGAGGCCGAAAAGATCGTTGGCCTGTTCACAAAACCAGACGCTCCCTCACCCACATACGACCTGAACGAAATGCAGGCTCTTTGGTACCTTGCCGAAGAAGCTGATGCTTTCGAACGCACCGGAAATTATGCAATGGCATTCAAAAGACTGGGGCAGTTGGACAGGACGTTCCAGGAGTTTTGGGATGATCAGTTGGATTTCCACTCTTATTGCATGCGGAAGATGACTCTTCGTTCCTATGTGAATCTGGTGCGGTTCGAGGATCGGTTGAGAGCTCATCCTGCGTATATTGGGGCGGCGGAGAAGGCGGTGGGTTTTTATTCTAGGTTGCATGATAAGCCTGATACACCTGCTTTTGTGGAGGAGGAGAAGGGAGAGGAAGAAGATCCAGCTCTAGCTGGGTTGAGCGAGGCGGAGAAGAAGAAATTGTTGAAGAAACAGAGACAGGCAGAGGCAAAGAAGGCGGCCAAGGCGGAAGCGGAGGCGGCAGAAAAGAAGAAAAAGGCAGAAGAAGCTGCTGCTAATGGCGAAGCTGTCGATGATGAGGGACCAAAACCAGATCCTGATCCGAAAGGGTTGGACTTGTTCAAGTCGGTGGCGGAATTGCCGTTAAAGCAGGCGCATAAATGGTTGAGGTTCATGCAAGAGCACGCGCCGCAGAAGCAAGAAACATGGAGGAGTGTGTTTGAGGTTAGTGTTAGGGAGAAGAATTGGTTGCTTGCCACCAGGGCCGTTGTGCACTTGCACAAGCTCGGAGGCGAGACAACAGATTTGGTTGTAAGATTAAAGAGTCAGCTGCCAGATTTGAAGGGGGCACCTAAACCAATCGGAAGCGTCATCGAAAGTGCACTGGTGGAAGTTATTCCTGCTGAAAAGCCACTAGCTACGTTCTACGCGGAAGCTTTACAATCCCCTCACGCGTCAAAACCCGAAGTTATGCTCGACAACGCTCGCGCAGCTATCTCTTTGGGTCGTCCTGAAGAAGCTTCCTCCCTCTTGCTAAACCTCCCAACCGCTATCTCACAGGCTCAACTCACCGGTCCGCGAGTCAGAAACAATGCGTTGGAGACCACCATCGAAGCCCGTACCCTCCTCGCACAGATCGATGCGGCTAAGGAGGACGAATTTGATGGCAAGGCAAGGGAAGCCTTTCCCCTGGCAAACGCTTTCAAGTCGGCGGAGATGCTAGAGGAGGAAAAGAAGAGGAGGGATGAGGCGAGGGCGAAGTGGGAGAAGGGTATTGAGGAGGAGAAAGTTGAAGGTGAAGCCAATGGAAATGCTCTGCATGAGCCTTTGCTCTAACTTCACTCGTTCGTTGTATAGCATTTGCATACATCTCAAATATCATACTAGAATTTATCTCGAAGCGGTCTGTGACAGTCCGAGCCTGGCAAGTGAGCAGGGGTAGAGGAGATCGAGGAACGAGACTTGATTGCGGAAACACGGAACGATGATAAGAACACGATGAGATTTAGCACATGATGATGATGAAAACGAGCAAATGATAGCGAGCGGAGCACACGAGCGTGAGACGATATACGAGAAATCCAAAGAACAATCAAGAACCGAAACGAGGGCAGTTTGAAGGTATAAGAAGCAAAAAGACAGGCCACCCCGACCATCGAGCTTGTTCGAGGCAAAGTTGGAGACGTAACAAGCCGCCTCTTATTCGAGGAAAAACATCTCCGAACCAAGATCAAAGTTCAAATAGAACTGTGCGGGCGCTTCGCCTCCTTGCACCTGTGTTTGACTTCCACCCGCAATCGCACCTTCTCCATCCACACCCGCTATCGAAGCCTGTGTGGGAGCAGGAGCGAGGAACGAGCTATTTAGATAGTCCTGGATGTCAGACATCTCTACTTCGAAGTCAAGGCATGAGTTGGCTGCGTCCATGCCACCAGCGATAGTGGGAGCGGTCTGGACGAGGGGCGCTTGAGGGGAATACTGCTGGTGAGGGACGAACGGGCTTGAAGAAGGCAGGAAGGTGGCTGGAGCAGATGCGGCAGACTCGAAGAATTGGTTTAGATCGAAGGAGTCGTTCTCGTCAGCGAGGGAGAAGCTGCTGTCTGTGGTCGTGTTGCTGCAGCTACTCGCGAGCTGATTCGAAGGCTGGTTTTGCTGGAAAGACATGCCGAACGATAGCGGCTGGCGCTGTTCGATCGCAGTCTGGTCCACAGGAGTGTTGCAAAAAGGTGGGACGGGAGCCTCGTCCTCATCCACCCATCCATCGTCGCCCGTCGCCGTACTCTCCATCATGGCCCAAGAGCTTCCCGCAGCGCTTCTCTCACTAGCCTGTCGCATAGCAGAGATATCGAGCGCTTTTTGGATACTCTCCCTCAACCCCTTATGCAAAGCCTCTTGATTGAACTGCAGGTCACCAAAGTTGAGCTTGATCTCGCCTGAGTCAGTGTGGAAGCCAAGCTGCTGCTGTTGAGAAACATTACTCAAATTGACATTGTCGCTGGTAAAGGGCGACCTCTGTTCCTGCCCTACGCCAGCATAGGTGGGGTGTGGAGGAGTCGCCATAGTGACAGCGGGCATGTCTTGCTTTGCATGACCTTCGTACTTGAGCGGATTGATGAGGCGGAAGACATTATGGGCCCTACCAGGACTGTCGAAGCAGTCGCTTTGACTGCTTGAGGTAGAGGATGAGCTAGTCGATCGCAAGGAAGGGCTGCCCCACGAGGTGAAAGACTTTTCGAGCTCGAGGGAGGAAGCTGACGCTTCGCTTGTGGTGGAGCAGGCACGTGGAAGACGAGGCTTCTTGAGGTTGAGGGAGAAGTCGTCCGAGTCAGAGACGGAAAGGGAAGGTGAGCCGCGACCGAGTGCGCCGTATGTCTTGCGCTTCTTCTCTGAGAGGGTGAAGTCACGCGTGGTTGGGGAAGAAGGTGTGTGAGGCTGTTCGGGATGCAGGTCGAAATGTTGAGGGGGCGTGGTTGGCTCGGTCTTGGATCCTTTTCGGCCCTTGCGATTGCGGCGATTTTGAAACTGTAGAAAGGGGATCAGAACAAGAAGGGAATACAAACGGTCAGTAATCGCATCCTTCATTGGTACAGCACATTAGATGAACGAGTGGCTGAAAACTATGTCGTATGAAGTCACTGTCCGCGGGCTACAGACAAGAGAATCACTCCCTCGTCGATAGGTCTGGACTCCCTCTCTAAATTATGGTCATCATTGACATTGGTCGTGCACACGCATCGGTGAAAGATTATAGCGAGAGTCGCGGTACAGGACAAAGCTTTACTGACCCAGATGGTAACCTGCTTTGGCTTGAGTCCGGTGACTTCAGCCAGTCGATACTTTTCGGCTTGCGTGATGTTCGGTGTGTGTTGGAAGGCTTGTTCGAGGACGCGGACTGCGTCAGAGTCGTGCCCGCGGCTGGTCTTGTGAGTGTAAACTTTACTGCTTGTCACAGCTTGAGATGTCAATACATTATCGCTTTGGTGCCGAGCATCTTCATTGCTGGCGCAGCACCTGAGAGCCTCTCGTACCATTGCGGACCAAAGGTCCCGTGCTTGGCCACCGAACTTCCGGGCGAGGCTTTGCCTGAACTTAAGACAGAATGCACCATCATCGTTGCCTCGGCTTCGCAGCGTGAGTACCGCCTCTCTGTAGCCTTCTTCAAAGGCTAATCGTAGACCGGAGATGTGGTGCTCGAAGATGTCGAATAATCTACGCTGACCTTCAGCTGAAAGATCGAGTTGGAGCAAATCTTTGCTTAATTCATCGCGTTGGGGGCACTGCAGATTGAGACTCTCGACAGTGTCACCGTCTGATGGAAATGTAGACATTGAAGCGGCAGGCGGTAGAACGTCGTGAATCTGGACGGCTAGCTCGTGGATTTGCTCTAGCATGGTCGGTGAAGTCATTATTCAGAGAGATGATTGAGGAAGAAAGGGAAACTGCGAAACAGGCAGCGTAGGTATCTGAACTGACGTGATTTTCCAGGTCGGCCGCACGAAGGAATTTCGCTGGCTCAAAGCAGGTTGCAAAGCGCGTGATCCCTCGAGGAGTAGTACTTAACCCGTTGTAACACAGTTGCTCTTGCTTTCAGACCCTCCATCATCTTTTCAGAACTGCCGACATGCCTGTTACCTCTTTCACCTTTTCAGAGCTCCTCCGGACCCTTCAAGACATCGAGGATGGCCTCCTTAGAAGCGCTGGAGGTTTTGGCGTGGAAGCGATTTCCGAGCTGTCTCAATTTACACCAAGCACCCTGCAAAGCCTAGTCAATGGCTGCAAAGATCTCGATCAGGTTGGAAAGATCAACCAGGCTGCCAGAAGGATCCAGCTGGTAGCAGAAGCAAGATTATGCTTGGAAGAATCAAGTGCGTCGCTCTGCGCAGAACTGAGCAGAGAAGCAAATACCCTCCTCAGCATCCAAATCTCTAGTCGCTCGGTGAAGCATTCGGTTGACCTGTCCGAAATGTTGCCGTCATATCACATGCGAAAGCACTTCCTCGCGACCCTACACGACCCTTATCCAACTGCAGAAGACAAAGAAGCCCTCGTCCGGGTAACCAACGAGTCCGTCCTCCAGCCCGGTTCCCCTCTCAAGAAGCGCACCTTGCTCAGCGTGGAGCAACTCACACTATGGTTCATCAACGCGCGCCGACGATCTGGCTGGTCCCAGATCGTTCGCAAGTTTGCCCGCAACGATCGCAACAGAATGAAGCTTCTCGTCCAAGCCAAGATGCTTACCTCTAACCCCTCAGCACGCTCCATAGCAACACAATCTTCTCTCGTGCGCAATCTCGATGACCTTCTTCGCGAAAACCTCGGCCACCTCACACCAGCAGACAAGGAAGAGTTTGAAGACGATTGGAATAGTATGATCAGTTGGATCAAGTACGGTGTCAAAGAGAAGGTTGGTGATTGGGTATACGATCTCGTCGCCGCGAACAAGAAGTCTCCTCCCAGGACGGGTCAAGCACGAGCAGTCACTACCGCAGCAAACAGATCTCCAGCACGCAAGACAGCAACCAAGACACAGACGAAGACAGCAACCAAGACACAGACGAAGCCGAGGAAAGCAAAACAGCGGGCTAGCAAGGCACCTTCGATGGACAGCACTTCCGTCTTGGAGTCAACTCCGGAGCTGAGCATGTGTTCTACGGCGGATAACAGCTTCAGTTCCTTCGGTAGCAATGGTTCGCTGGTGCAGCACGATCCTTTCCAGCAGTACCAGTTGCAACAAAGCCCTTCCCTCAACACGAGAGGCGGGCGAAAAGTCAAAGCGTTGCCCAAACGCGCTGCTCAGAAATTGCCCGCTGAGGCGCTTTACATTAGTAAGTCTTCTCTCTGGTGCCCGCATAAAGCCCTTGACACAAACACTGAACAAGCCCTTTGTTCTGCTTTGCCACTCAAAGACAACAACGAGAGCGGATCAATCGACACGTGCTATCCGGTGCCTGAAGAGCGCAAAACTGCCCTTTCTCTCGCGTCCGAGGCTCTGGCACAGGCCAGCGGTCAGACCAACTCTTATCTTCCCGCTTCGAAACAGCAGATGTTCCCGCCTTACGATGCGATGGGACAGATTCCTTTCGTGCCTAGAAGGGAGAATCTCAGCTCCAACAGCCTTTCTGCCGCTTTCGGTTGATCCGAAGCACGCTTTGTATTATTTTTGCTTTGTTTTTGGAAATATCACACCATTCTGTATCACACTTTTTTGGCTTTGAATACATGACTGTTTGGGAGCATGAAAGCGACGCTCATCGTGCGGAACAAGGCTCATCTCATAGTCCAAGGAGGTAACAGAGGGGACATTTGAGCTTGGATCCCTTCGACCCTATCACATGCGATGACGAGCTGCGTTGACGCTGAAACGAGATACAAAGGGAAATTGTTCGGCCCGCAAAAAGGGGGGCGGAAATGAGCAAGAAGGTGGGTTGAAGCACTCCCTTTGTGTTTTTTTTTTCCGCAACTTCATCCGCAGTCAGAAACTCCAATGCCTCTCGGTGTCTACGGTTTCTCGTAGTCGTGCCACTTCCTCTTGCATGATGTGACGATAAGGAAGAACAAAGGGAACAGTCGTGCGGCTCATTCTGCAACAGGCAACGCTAGTAAGACGCTCGGGCCGCTCCCGCAGTTTATTATTCCCCTTTGTTCATCCATCGTGAGAATCTTTTTTGCGCCTCCCCACAGACATCCACTCCATCGGCGTATCCGTGACTTTATGAAGAATCTCAAGGTTGCTGTAATATGGAATGCATTCTCACAAGGCCGGGAAGAACAAAGGGGAGCTTGCTTGGTTTTTTTGAGTTGGCACTCTTTGATTAGGTTGTGACAGCTTCGGCTGTAGCTTCTTGCGTCGGAGTTCGAACCGACTATCTCATCTGTCACTACTCGCGCGAGAGTTTTCTCTACCTTGTTCTCGGCAGTCGGAAGAGCGCTTGGAGACTTTTTGGCTGCATTCCAAAATTTCGCTCCATCAACACCATTCGAACCCTTCTCCACCTCTTCGCATCAAAGTGCCAATCTCCGCTCATCACTCACAAGCAAAAGCATAGCCAATGATGTCATCATTACGGCAGAGCCCACTACCCACGCTACAAACTCTCTCTTCCTCCTTCACCGACCTTTCGAACATTCTTCAACCTCTCCTAGTACACAACTACGAACAACTCAACTCCGCACTCCAAGCCAACTCTTCCACCACCCAAAACGCCTCCGAAGATGAGCTCCATGGCCGACTCGATGCTGCACGAATGCAAGTTTCTGTCGCATACGTACTTATGGATCTCGTTTGGATTCTGCTGAAAACAAAAGGTGTCGACCCGATGAATCATCCAGTGATGCAAGAGTTGGAAAGAGTCAAAAGCTATTTCGGCAAGATCAAGCGGGTGCAGGATAATGAGAAGGAACCTGCTGCCCAGGGCGAGAAGGGCACGAAGGTGGATAGGAGTGCTGCAGGGAGGTTCATTAGGGCTGCATTGGCTGGTGAGCCTGGTTCTACGCCTGGGAAGCATACGAAGTTCAACGATGAAAGTGCTGAGAAGAAGGATAAGCAGGTAGAGAAGAAGGAAGTAGAGCAGGCAGAGGCAGTGGCAACACCGTCAAAGAAGGAAGCAACTGCAGCAGGCACGGGCACCTCATTGTCGAACAAGACGAAGCGACCAGCTATGGATCCGTTCGAGGGGTATGACAAGCCAAAGACGCCAAAGACTGCTCCCGCCACACCATCGAAAAAGACAAGCATTGCGGCTTCTTCACCAAGCAAGAAGCAGAAGAAGAAGTCTCACAAGTGATCTCTCTACCTTCACAGCATCATCATCCACTGTCGTGTCGTTCATTGTATTTGTAGGAGTTTCATCAGCAATCGCATATCTCAAAAAGAACAAACATATCTCGGAAAGCGAGTCAGGATTGTGACGATTGCATTGATTTTAAGTTAAAGAGCGTCGTCGAGATCAATCGGAAGTGCATCAAAGTCAATGATCACAAGTGTCGATTGCGATGAGTAATACTATTCTAGGTACATGTTGAATCAGGTGCTTATATATGTCTCAATCCTTCTCATGTGCATGTGTTATGCTAAGGGCCAATAAGGCAATGGCATGGGAGAGTGAGTGTGAGGTTGAGGAGGTAAACACCAGCTGCCTGGTGACTGGCATCTTGGGCTTCGACAGTTGGCCTGGACAATGCACTTAGTCCAAGTGAGTGAAGTTGGCAATTTGGTGTGTGGGCTCAGCAAAGGTTGCATTTGAATGCATCAATCGCCAAGGTGTCACATGCTTCAACTCCCCTCCTCACTAACAGAGCAACCATACAATCCTGCATTAATGATTCCAAGGTGAGTACAGGTGTGTGATAGGAGTTTCCCAGAAATGGGTTTCATGAGGAAATCAGCAATGTTGTCTCCAGTTTTAACATACCTAATCACGATATCTCCTTCTTGTATGTGATCTCAGATGAGATGGTATTTTGTGTCAACATGCTTGAGTTTGGAATGCATGGCTTGGTCCCTTGCCACTTGAATGCAGCCTGTGTTATCCATAAAGATGATAGGAGTATGGTCTCCAAATCTAAGTCCATGGAGAAGGTGCTTGTGGAATAAGGCCTCCCTGGTGGCAACTGAACTGGCAATATATTCTGCCTCAACTGCTGAGCTGGCCATGCACCTCTGGATATGAGAGTTCCAGGTGACAATGCTGCTGAAAACCTTTACTATCAAGCCTGAAGTGCTCTTCTGATCAGCATTAGGGTCTGAAGCCCAGTTTGCATCTGTATAGGTTTTGATGGCATTTCCAATTGTTTCTGCTCTGCCAATATGCAATATGTTGTCTTGGGTCTGGTTCAGATATTTGACAACACATAGTGCTGCCAGCATCATCTCTTCATTTGGTCGAGACATGTGCCACGCGAGTGTATTGACCGCATAGCAGATGTCTGGATGGATGGTGTCACAGGGCCAGCGGGCCAGCGCAAGAAGGATGCACCAAATTGACTGATGGCATTCATGGTAATGTTGTGCAGGATCAGCAGATCAACATATGAAGGGTATGCCAAGTTGATCAGCACCAAATCATTGGGGATTGACAGAGCTAAGTGGGCTGGTAGCACATATGATTTATGAGATCAACTGAACTCTGGGTTCCAGGTTAATCTCATGAGGATCAATTGGAATCAGCTGGATCAGCATGCCTCAGCAAATCGGCCAATACAAGCAAGTACCAGGAGATTCAGGAAGGAAGGTACTGGCATTAGAAGGAGAAGCATATGGAGATAACCACATGTAGGAGCAGGGGACCAAGCTCAGCATCACACAGACAGTTACTGCTCAAAGGGTGCATGTGTATAGCCACACAGGACCAAGCACAGGGGGCAACTGCATGATCAAGGGGTTTGGTCACAAGGTCCAACAGGTGGCTAAGGGGACTCACAAGATAAGGACAGGAAGGTGGTCGCCAGTGAAGAGAGAAGGAAATGGTGAACAGATTGGTTAAACAAAGAGGAGGAGCTGTGTTGAAGGGGTTGTCACACATCATCAAGTGGAAAGGGAGCATGAAGGTGAAAGGGCAGTGTTGCATAACCATTATGCTGTGCAGATGGTAGGGGTGCAGCATCAATGGGATTGATGCCAGCAGGAGAGACAGTGTTGAACAGGGGACAAAGGCCCCTCAAGAGGAACAGGATAGGTGTTGCAGGTGACACCAATCGAATGCATAAATACTCTCATTTCACCATAGCATATGAGTGGATCTGTCATGGGCCTGGATGCGCAGAAAGAAGGAAGAACCGAAGTTCATATGAAGGCAGTGCAGGAATCAAGGGATTGGGCAGTTCATAGGATTTGCAGCAGAGTTCACCAAGATTGGCAGTAGAATCAGCTCTATGACAGATCTCAGTGAAATTGGCATGAGCATCATCAATATCACGAATCCCACCAGAATCTGCAGCAAGCACAATCATGTGACAGATTCCATGGAGATCAGTGACAAGGATGTCCATACAATGATTCACATGCAGGACGGACCAAGCTCACATACAAAGGGGACCAAGCTCCACTGGGCCAAGGACCAAGCCTTGCCAAGATGGGGACCGAGCTCAGAGACATGCAGACAGGTTACTGCTCAGGGGCTTAGGAGATAGTGGATAAGAGAAACGTTGCCAGTTGAAGGAAGAAGAGCTGTGTGATGGACACCAGCAAACAGGTCATGAGGAGGAAGAGCAGTGTCGACTCCATCGACACTGCTCTGGAAGGACAGGAGCAACAAGGCTTGATGAGGAGGAGGAGTCTCATTGGAGACTCCTGTACAGTACTCGATGAAGAGGGTACTCTCTGGAGAGAGAGAGTGGGAGCAGTGTCGCTGGTGATGCTGCGAAGAGGTATATAACCATACCTTCTCATTGCAAATGGTCGAGTGGATCCCCATCCACTCTACACACCATATAAAACTAGTTATCACTTCAGCATAAGTATACATTAGTTTTCAGTCAGCATAGTAGTAATCAATAGATTGCTCCTCATTGTAGCACATGTGTTGTATCACTGCTCACTGACATCCGAAGGTGGTTCATAGCAAACCAGCAGTCTGGATAAAGATAGAACCGAAGGCAGTAGTCCACTGCGGTCTGGGGATCACCTCAAGTGATAGTCGACACACTGGACACTTGTTGTCATGGGCCTGAATGCTCAGGAAGCAGGAGGGTCACTGGTTCATATGGAAGGAGCACAGGTATCAGAGATCTAGTCGATACCAGTAGAGAGCATGGTCATAGTGCAGTCTCCATGGAGACCATGGACTCCTACAGACTCACATGCAAAGGAGCACTGAGCCATATGTGAGGAGGGCCAGGCACAGCCATGAGGAGGACCAAGCTCAAGGAGCAGGCACAGCCATGAAGAGGACCAAGCTCAAGGAGCATGCAGATGGTTACCACTCAGGGGCTCGAGAGACAAGAGTCAAAGGAACCGTCACCAGTCAAAGGAGAAGGAGCAGTGTATAGGAAACCGGCAAGCAGGTCCTGAGGAGGAGGAGCAGTGTCAAAGGAGTTGACACAGCCCAGGAGGCACAGGGGTGCCAAACAAGCAGGACAGCAAGGAGGAGGAGCAGTGTCGAAGGAGTCGATAGCTCAAGGAGGACAGGAGTGGTGCTAGAGGGGCCCCCCTGTACAGTACTCGATGAAGAAGGTACTCTCTGGAGAGAGAGCAAGAGCAGCATCACTGGCGATGCTGTGAAGAGGTATATAACCATACTTTCTCATCATCAAAGGTCAAGTGGATCCTCATCCACTCTACACCCATCATAACTAGTTATCACTTCAGCATAAGTATATATTAGTTTCAGTCAGCATAGCAGCAATCTATCAGGGTTGCTCCTCATCATAGTGTGTGTGTTGTATCACCACTACCTGACGTCTGAAGGTGACCCATAGCAGGTCAGTGATCCAGATATAGATAGAACCGAAGGCAGTAGTCCACTGTGGTCCAGGGATCACTTCAAGCATCAGTCAACACACTGGACACTCGTGTTGACACCACCAACCTTATCACCAACACCATCAACCTCATCATCATCAACACTCACACCAGACCTTGGTGTCATCATAACCTATGTATTGATATTGATCATGCCGAGCTACCCCTGAACAGAGTGTCCACAGGTCAGCTGAAACCTATGATAGTATATACAATGAACACCACCCACAGTCATTGCACAACTTGATAGTTGCCGAATGACTAGCTTGTTGAGACCGATACCAAGACAATAGCTGTTGCACAGTTTGATAGTCACCAAGTATCTCGACAGACCGACCTGGGTTTCAGGCGCGAGACCCCTGACACTTGTGTCGATGCCAACAACCTCATCATCAACAAGATACTCACACCAGACCTTGGTGTCATCACAAGATCACCACCAACATATTGATATTGATTGTGCCAAGCTACCTCTGGATGGAGTGTCCACAGCAGTTAGTCGAAACCTGTAATAGCAATACTACAACTACAGATTTGAGCGGGAAAAGTGATAGAGATGGCTCTATCAAATGTTTCACCGAGAATCGAAATACCACTAGTGTTGTTGCATAACTCGACAGAATCGGTAATAGTATCGACACTACTACCGAACTCAGGTTTCAGGCGTGCGACCGCTGACAGGATCCTCATCCACTCTACACACTACTTACTTACTTACTTACTTGACTCTTAGTTTCATACCATTGCAATAGCAGTGCTCTTGCAATGACCCTCAAACATGTGTGTTGTATCACCGTTAGGCATCACCTGTAGGCAGTGTCTTCCAGACACTTGTGGTCCAGTTCTCAACTGTAGGCAGTGTTCTTCAACACTTGCAGTCCAGTTAGTTATTGTAGGTGGTGACTCACACCTGCAGTCCAGTAACTCCCATTCTCTGTAGGCAATTAACATATTGCAGTCCAGATGATGTCCAAGAGCATTATCAACAGTACTGTGAACATTCATACTGTAGGGAGAGGGTATTACTCACTCTCCAACAAAGAGCATATGTGCCACACAACCTCTGAATGGAGTGTTCAAGGCAGTCAGCTGAGACTTACCAGTCGAAGATGTCTGGTTATGTTTTAAGTCAAAACATACCAAGTAGACCTTACTCAATCAACCCCATCTATACTGAACAAATAACACCCAAAACTAGTCTATGGCACACGACCGCTTACACTGGCTTCCACACAAGATTGATGTGTGTACCATCAGCAACAAGCCAGCCCCAGCCCCACTCCTCTACACCAGTCTTTTCTACCACCTGTCAGCGGTCATGTGCCT